AAACGTCGCATAAAGAAGCAAAACAGCCTGTATGCTGGGACCCAACTACAGTTGAACAAAAAGCTAAACAGGTCGTTCCTTTCATGCTTTTTGTTCTTCCATTTAGTTATTTCAGTTTGGTGGGTTTTTTTTACGTGTAACTAATAAAAAGACCTGTTCTTTTGAGAATATTCCTGTTTCTGGTTTTCACAGACATCAGGAAAGACTTTAATTTTTTTTTTCAGACAAGAAAATGGTGATGAAGTGATCAACCATGAACAGGTAACACACAAAAAGCTGTTTTTCAGTTAAAAATATGGCATCAAACATGGTGCCCCCTTTCAGTGTTAGTGAAAGATCTAAGTTAATTTTGGTATCATTTTAACATCTTGCAAACATACTTTCAAATTATGTCAACATTTTCCTTTACTGTTTTAGGTGTTTTGGGAGAAATCTTGAATACACGCGGAGAACATTAAAGCGAACACGTTACCTGAAAAACATACAGAGTACCAAGAAGTAGATTCTTGATATCCACCCTGTAACTTGCGTGGACTTTTATTTATCTTTTAAACTTATTAATATTACAATGAATGGGCACAGTGATGAAGAAAGCCTAAGAAACAGTAGTGGAGAGTCAAGGTAAGCTCCTGCTTATTTCCATTATTGGCTATTTATTCTCCTGTATTTTGTTTACTAAAACTGGTTTATATTTGAACTTGGTGCCAAAGCTTCCTGATTAGGCAGACTGGATGTGCTTTCTTACAGGTGCGTAATCTGCTTGTTACGTTCACATCGCTTCAGCTAAGAATTGTGATGATCTTGTGTACACCTTACATAATAGAGCTTAAATAGTATTAAAACAGCGTTAGCATCCAACAGAATAGTATTACTCTTTTGAGGAAAAAATAAGTCTGAAGTGTCAAAGCTGAAACATTGGATTTAGAATGTTAAAATAAAACTATATAAAGCGCAAGGCACACATACATAATGAGTTGTATAAAACCCTAACGAGTCTGTCTCCAAAGGTGGAGTTGTGGGCTGTTCATTTTAGTTTTTGATGTAGAGTACTTAATGATTCTTACTTCTGTAGAGCTGTCAGACCAGTATAACTGAAAAGGGTTAACTTTGTATTTGTTTTCTGAAGCGAAAGTACAGTTTTCCAGCTGTTTTTAATTAAAAAAAATCAGTCCTGTAATATTGAATGCTGGTCTTCTAGCATGTGCAGTGTCCAAGCCTGGTTAGAACTTCCCATGCAGATTAACAGCCAATTTTTGAGGGTGGAGTTAAATTCTCTTTCTAGAACAGAGCTAAGATCAAAAAGTCCCTCCTGTGCTAGAAAGTTTAGATTGCTAAAACTGTAAACTTGAATTGTGAAAGTTTAAGAAGTAAAAGTATACTTGCAAATGAAAAGTGGCTTTAGTCTTCTCTTTTAAGAGGTGATTGTGACTGTGCTGTTAGTCTACCCATCTGTCTTTCTGCCACTCTTTCTGATCACAGCCTGTTGAACCAGTTAGCTGATACTGTCAGTCAGAGGGTCATAAAGAAAACTGTGTTCTGCAGACTTTATTGAAACTTCCAGTTGGGTAGAGAAAGATGTAAATTATTGCCCTAAGTGAAGAAATGCAAGAGCATCATTGTCAGCTGATTGGTCAGCACATGTTGGCCATTAAGCTTACACGTAGCACATTGTATGGTGGAGTGGGAAGAAGAGGGAGAGACAGCTGTTCAGGTGACTTTGGGTGCAAATCACAAGGAAATCTGTGAACAGTAAAACTAAAGAAACTTTAATAGCTTTTGTATTTTTTTGTCAAGCTTTCTGTTGCACAAAGGAATGTCCTAGAAAGGCAGTAAACTTCCAGTCTTGTGAATAATTTGTAAGCTCTGATACAGAATCATTCTTGAAGATTTCTTCTTCCAAGAAAGTTGATACTTCTCAGATGGGAAGAGAAACATGAACAAATGAAATAGTGTGAACAAGGCTAGTCATCAGAACTATAAGACCTCCAACAAACATGAATTTACCAGGGACAAGTCTGATAATTTTGTGTGTGAATTTCTTTGCTACTTGAAACAAGCCACCTTGCTACAGATGTGTGGCAAAATGACTTTGTATTGAACTGTGGCTGCCAGTAAATACCAGTATCAGTTATTTACAAGCTGTAGCAATTCATAAGACTAAACCAGCTAAACTTCATAAAGTTCCCAGTAATTCATTAGAAGTGAATATCAGGAGGATGCATAGTACTGAAAACTTGATACTTGCTTGTGAATTTAGACTTCGTTCTTCATCTTAAACGTCATGCTGAGCACATCTGAAATCTTTAAAAAGTGTTAAAATGCTAAAAACTTTTTTTCCTAGGCTTGTATCGATCTCCATAACCTAATTCACAGGCAGGTCTTGGAAAGCTTATTTTCATGTTTGCCATGTATTATCAGAAAACTTTTTTAAAATGGAGAGCTTTCACCTTTCATTTACAATGATGGAACCCTCTTCTGTCTAGCCTAGTTCCGTTATTAAAGTATCTATTTTAAGAGGAGTGTGATACTTATAGAATAACTTTATATGACTTGCCTTTGTTGTTTAATTTTTTTTTTTCCTTCTTTGTAAGTTTACAGAACTCTAGATGGTTTTTACTAAGAGGGGAGTTGCCTTAGCAAGCTGCTAACTTAGCAGGTAGATAGCTAGCTGTAAATTGGGAAGTGTTGCTTTCAAATCTGGAAATGTGAATTCTGCAGAATGGAAATAGAAATCAGAATGGAAACAGAGATATTTTTTTAAGTGCAGTAAAGCTATTAATTTCCCTTTGATATCTGGTGTAAACTTCCATGGCTATAATTCTGGAGTGGCAGTCTTGATAACAAATACAGCCTGGTGTTGGGGAGCTGCCATTATTACTTTAGAAAGTTAAGAGAAACAGTGGATCAAGGCTGGATTTGCAGAAATACACAGGCCTCATGGATACTGCATTGTATTGTTTTATGGTAATACTATGGCTTGGAAAAGTTGTGGAAAGTCTGTAGTATTCTCAGCAGTAGGAGCACTGGAGAAGGGACTAATCATAAACCTTCCATTTTATGCACTGGTTGGCATTGTGGTAAGGAATTGTAGCTGTCTGTTACTCTCTCTTGACTGGCTGTGAAGGTGAAGTATTTCTGAAGTGTGTGAAAGGAATGGCCAGTTTGCCATGCTCCTGCGCTCCTTTCCAATGTTGCATTTATTCATCTGTCTGTTAGATGAGCAGAAAGCTTTCCCTTCTGCAGGTGTTGTACCTGAAGTTCTGTTTTGCTACAGGTAGAAAAGTGTCCCCCTTGTATTTTCATGGTTGAATCACTGGCTGTACTGTTTGCGCTTTACTTGCCTATTTCAACAACCTCTGATTGTATAAATTGGTACTAGAACCAAGCATGATGGAAATCATAGACTAGCATAAACACTATTACCTACTCTTGTTGCTTGGTGTTCTGATTTCTGTGTAACAATTACAGTGGAGTCTACTCTAGATTCTTGTTTACTTGAAGTCGCTACTCTGGAATATTTTTAAGTAGCTCAAGTTAAAATACCACAGATATTGTTCATCCAGACAGCAAGTGAGTGTAGGCATAACTTCATAGCAATGCTCTGAGATGCTGACTCTTAAGTGAAACAAAGCCCCTTTGTGTAATGTTTTTGAAAGCATTCTGTTGCAAACTTAAGTGTGAGTATATTCATTCTAGTTATATAGTAATAAGAAAGCTTAACAGCAAGGAAGGGCAGTTATACCTGAACTGCAAGACAAGCTCCAGGTAGAACAGGGACTGCATAAGTGAAACATTGGTGCTAATTGACTAACAATCTGATTTCCCACTTCTTTGCTCTTCTTATGTTTCCTGCAGAACAAGGTATAGAGGACTTGAGCAAGCCTTCCTTCTCTGTAGGTAAAAAGGGGTGTGCTCAGTGCAGCTTAACTGGAAAGTAGCTGGCTGGAATGTGTTGTACTACCATTTTTGCAGAAAGCAGGTGATTACACCAAAGACTTTTACTGTTCTTTACACACTTGAAAGCAATGTTAACAGAAGATAGCGATTTCACTTGCATTGCGGACTGAATAGACTGTGGACCACAAAATATAGTTCTGTGAAGATTAAAGACTTTGTCAGTAGGCTTCAATTTACCGTATAAATTCGTACCTTCCGTAGGAGGTAAAAAGGATGTATTGAAAGCTATGGCTTTAGGTTCTCACTTTCCAGAAATCTCACTTTGAAGTGGGAGTTAAACCGTAGATTCCCCAAGCAAATTTTCAGAATTACTCCCATGCGCTGTCTTATTTTTGGTAGAAGTTTAATAGATAATATTAATAAAAACGTGTGCATATAGCAAGAAAGAGCATATACATACTTATATGTTAGTGCACAGGAATTTTCAGATCAACACCTCAATGGTAAAGGAAACTGTTGGTAAAACTTACTGTGGATAAAGCGAGATCTTCACTTCTGGTAGCAGTAATCTTCTCTTTGGTTAGTAAGTTGCTATTTTATCAGGAATGATCTTTTACAGAATTAAGCATACTAAAGTATGATAAGGTGTCCTGATCCAAGTTAAAAGCATCTTTTTGCTTCTTTTGGAAGAGTTCAGATAGAATATATATCAAAACCCAGATGTGTGTTTTGTCTAGAAACTCTTAGACCCTATCAGGAAAATTCAATTGAGTTCATGCTTTGTAATAGCTGAGGACAGGAAATAACACTTGGTAGTCTGAACTTTATATAAAATCTGTTCCCTCTGCTTTTTACTGGTGGTGATAAATAAAATAAATCTTCCTTAGGCATCTAAATCAAATTAAGATTTCTTTAAAAACAAAACTTACATAGCATTTGCCTAAAGGCACTTGCAATATTAAGAGTTTGGCATTTAGTGTCTGTTACTTCTGCACGTTTTGAATGGGCTTTTCCTATTCAAATAGTGACCTTCCTTCGACTTCTGGTTCATTTTAAAAACAATCAAAAAAACGCCCAAGCAGTCCACTGTAATCTCAGATGTTTTTCAGAGACCTCACAGAAAGTAATTTTTTTTTTTTTGGCATGTTAAATTTTATTTTGCTCAGATTGGTACTTTCTTTCCTGCTTTTCTTAAAACAGGAGATGCTTGAGGTAGCCCAACCTAATGAATGCACTTGAAATTGGTGGTGATAAATTATCTGCTCTTTGATCCATTATTGACCTAGACCTTACACAGGAGTCTAACTGCTCAGTCAGGTCTTTTACAGTATGACTTGTGTAGCTTTCCATTTTACAATTTCTCTTCCTAATGCCTTGTGTAAATTAGCAGACTTTATTCCTGATTGTGTGTGATCCTGTCAGGGGCACCTTGTTTTAAGGGGTAGGCTAGTGTAGCTAAATTTAAGACTATTGAGAAGAACTAATGACTTTGTGACAGGATATGCACTTTTAATCTGTTTCAGTGATCTGGCTCCTTAAGCCTGTCATCTCCCCAAAGCATTCTCCAGTTTCATTGCATAGGTGTTTATTGGGAGGGTTGAAAAAAAAAAACAGGTAAAAACGGAAGTGAAAAATTACCTCCTTTAGTACTTTCATTAAGCTGTGTTGGTTTTCTTACAAAGTAGTTTGTAAATACATACTGCATTCAGACATAAATTTGTCTT